TTTAAACTTTGTTGAGATAATACACAAAATTAAGAGTGTATTTCAGACTTATCAATTATCGTAATTAAAAACAGTTATTGGTACAATTAAAACGTTCACCAACATTTTACGTGGACGTAATTAAATCTTTCCATAAGAAAGCGAGATGATTCCACTTATCTTATCTCTTATCCATTAGAATGTAAATAATTTTTTTTTTTAATTTTGTACATAGTTTGTTTGTACTTTGTTCATGTTTTACTTTTATTCATGTATTGTATTGGATGTAAATATTTTTTTTCTTTCGCTTAAACAAACCCAAATGGCTTTCTTCAAAGCCACCGAAGCTATGCAATTGCTGATATGTAATACAATCTATCTGGCAGTGGTATGCCTTCTGTGTGCTTTGTTAAACACGTCCTTGACAGCACTGGATATGAAACTGAAGCGTGGAGACAGATCAAGATTGGTGTATTTTTATAAAACTGCTAAAAACAACAATCTATATTTTTATCAATTTATATCTTGGGCTTGCCCTAGCTTGGAGCTCTAGCTTCACCACTGGTGACGGATGCATATAATTCTTAGGAAAACCAGAGAAATTATTGCACCCTACCCCTAATAGTTCGGCAACTGCTGTTTTCTCATTTTCTAGTTGTTATTAGTTAGACGCTGCAGCTCATCTTCTGATTTGTTCCCTCTGTTACTTCTTATAACACCCACGAGATGAAGAGTAGTAAATATTCTTACACACACACTACACTGTAACCTGGTTGAGGATAGACTGATGACACACAACCTAAGAGGTGCGAGACATCTGGTATCGCAATATTCAAACCATTTACCAAGAGAGATGATTAAGGCAAAACCTCCCCATAGCGGGACAAGTCGGTCATGGTCTTAATACTTATATAAATAATCTGTTTATTTCATGATAATGAACTTTTAGTCTATTTGGACCATGGGACTGGAACATTTACTAGTGTTATTTCCATAGGGAAGTCTTTAATAGATTTAAAAAAATTAGAATGAGGAATGTTACGATGATATGATCATAATAGTGAGGAACAAGACAGATAGAAGGCCCATTTTTATTTTTAGAGTAAGAAAAGTGACAGCCTACATGGCATTTTACTGCTTGTCACAGGCCTCCTCTCATTACTGAGATGGTTCCGAACAGCGAAGAGGCCACTCTTGCAATGATGTGTTCTGGCAGGCTTTACATGATGTTCAAATATTTATGTCTCATATAAACACAGATTATTATTTATACTACGTTACTAATAAATATTTTTAGTTATTAGTTTGAAGAAATAAATATTTTTACCTCCTTGGTGGCACATTAGAGTCTACTTCAACCATGGTTCCATAATGTGCTAATTGCTTCACTCTTACTGCTGGTTCTAATGCAGCCAGATCTTCATTTTGCCGAGTACGTTTATCGGGCATAACGATCAGCTGAACACTAACAAAAGTATTATAAACAAGAATATTATTAATTGAATAACTCAAAACTACAAATATTAAATAATTATGAAAATATGTAATGTAAAACAAACAACAAAATTTGTTTTTCTTTAGACTTTGCTTTGACGTTTTATTTTTTCTTTAGATAGGGACTAGTCAGGACTAGTAGTATTAGTACTTTTGCCAGTATTTTATATTGGTAACTCATTAACTCTTATAGTAATAATATGATGTCTGTGCTTATTTATTATGTACAAACCTTTGAGCATAGAAAATATACTCAAAGGTACAAACAGTATGCCCTTTGAACAGTAAACAGTCAACAGTAGGCTGGGTCCTTCTAGAGACACTTTTTGTTTAAAAATTTCAGCTCTCCTTAACCTTCTAGAAATCCAGTTCTAAAGTGCATTCGTCGTTGATTACTGGTTATCAGTGCACGATTAAAGTTTGTGCTTTTCTCAATCTTCATTTTAACGATATTTACTTCTAAGAGAATGCTAAACTAGACATGAGTGATAAATAACGTCACTGAAAAAATCATCGTGATCTGCCACCAGAGAATATCACAGTGACTTTTTGTAATAACGTTGTTTCTTTCCATCACATTTACTCCGTCCAGTGTTGCCAAGTCTGAAATCTAGCGGACGGTAGAATTCTTCTAAAAATACGGTAGAATTTTCGAAATTATGTTGTAATATATATTTGAAATACGGTAGAATTACCTTGTTTATTTAGTAGCATGTTATGGGTCAGAGTTAAAAAAAAACATATTTTTAATCAGAATCGGACAGTATAATTGTTTCAATATTTTTATACATATCATTGTTATGTTTTGCGATCATAGCGTGAGTGGGATTAAAATCAACACAGTTTTTTCCGTGACGCTGTATGGCTTGCTGCGATAAGAGATTTCCCTTGATGGATTTCGTTAGGAGTTTATTCCGTTTTTTTGTTTTTATATCGTTAACTCTGCTGAAGACTCTTTCGCACTCAGCATTCGAGTGTGGCAGAGACAAAATGGCCAACATAAATTTTGGCAAGTGTTGGAAATAGGTATTCCCTTCTCGATGTTGGTCACGCAGTTCTGCGACCTGAAAAAAAAATGATTAGGCTGCTATAACAATAGAAACCAATATGAATTCACGTTGCTTCGAGTTTACATGGAAACTTACCTGGTGCCAAAATACGTCAGGGGGTTGACTTAAATCCAAATCTTTGTAGTATAACGGCAACTTCCGCCACTCATCATCTAGTTCTTGTTGATGTTGGATTGAAGTTGGGGCAATTCTGGGCAGTAATGGAAATAACGACGAAACTGACTCTTCCCTGTCATCAGAAATTACTTTCTCTAGATCAAATTTTGCTATTTCTGTCATAATTTTGTCATTAAAACAGTATCGTTTACGAAGGCCCACACAAGCTCTAATAATAAAATTTTTACACATCTTTCTGAGAGTTAACTTTCTTTCTTCATTTTCAACAGAATCTAGTTCTTTCTGGACACCTAAACCTAGATATATGTCTTTTAGGTCCTTGTGATTTATTTCTGTCATTGGATCTATAGTTTCAATAGGAGCGGAATTTACATAATTTCTGTGTAAAACCAATAGTAACAGTTCTTTATAAAAAGCTGTCATTTTCCCATGTAGTTTCGTAATTAAAATAGATTCGCTCTGAAAACAGCTATTTAATGTTGTAAATTTTGGCAACATCCAAGCCAAAAAAATAGTAATAAGCCTTGATTATGGGATCATTCAGGCATGCATGAATATCGTGGCACTCCGATTCTTCCAGCCATTTGCTATTGAAATAAAGACGTAATACATCCCATTGTTCCAGAATCCTTTGCACTACTGCATTTAAAGACAACCATCTAGTCTGGGCTGGTCTTAGAATTTTGTGCACATCCGCCTCAGCAAAATACTGGAACTCTTTCAACTCACTCTGCCTTTTACTACTGGATTTAAAATAATTATAAATATTTCGCGCCATTTTTTCACAATTTAGTGGAAGCTCTTTACATGCGTCACTAGCGCAAAGATGCAGAGAATGGCAAATGCATTTGATCACAATTATGCCTGGACAACGTTGACGAAATCGACTTGAAACTGAATTGTTACATCCCATCATTGTGTTGCATCCATCAGAGCCGAAACCTATGATGTTTTCCGTAGGAATCTCATACTTTTGAAATGAACCTATAACAGTATTAAAAAGTTTTTCGGCATTTGCAACATGATCGGTGGTTTTCTCATCAAATAATTGAATCAAATTCCAAAACCGAGTGATAACTTTACCAATCATTGGATCAAAATACCTGACCACTACAGCTACTGTTTTTACTACAGCAATATCTGTGCTTTCGTCTATCAAAATTGAAAACATTTGTGATTTCAAGTCACTGATCAAGTTTTCTTTTTTCAGTTTCCCCAATACAGTTATTTATCACAGCTTGAACTTTAGTTCTTTTTAATCTAATATCTTTGGCTATCTGAGAATCTGGGAACAACTTTGGTAACAAATCTGCTAAGTGATTCATGACATTATGAGATACCTTATGCTCAGCAACAAAAGCAGCTAATTTTATTTCTGAAGTCTTTACCAATTGCTTTTCATTAGTTGGCATGGATTTAAAAACGCTTACTATAGACTGTTGTTTTTTGGACGTTGAAGCACTACACCTCTTTAAATTATTCACGTGTTTAGTTCCTTCTTTGTGGCGTTTTATTACACTTATTTCGGCACTGAAAGATGTATTGCAAACATTGCAGACCGCCTTCGATAAGTCCCTATTATCCTTTCTTAGCCAGTCACTATATTCTTTATTCAGCAACCATTCTTCCCGAAACTTCTGCTTATAACGCTTTCTCTTAGCCGGTACTCGTGTTAAGCTATCTTCTCGATCAGTAGCGCTGTCGCCATCACTCTCCATATTTTTAAACACTCAGATCACACACAACACAACAAACTCTTACGTAATTTTAAGTATTAATGAAATGTTAGTCGTATCTCGTTTATGATACAAATAAACTAGGAAAATTAAAAAGCTCTAAGTATTCATTGAAATTCAAATACATACAGCACCCCCCGAATTCGTTCGCATAATATCTCCAAGCTGGTACCACGCTATTGGGGGATTTCCCGACGCATAAAACAGTGTTGTCGGTAGAATAAAAGGAAAATACTGTAACGTAAAGAAAGTAAACAATCAAACTCGCTAAAATTATTTTAGTTTATAGATAATCATATTTAGATACGATCTTCATTGGGTATTACGGTGTATTTTGCTACCGTAATTATAATCCTACGGTAGGTGGTAGATCTATGCTGATTACGGTGTTTTTACCGTAATTACGGTGCAGTTGGCAACATTGACTCCGTCTCACTCCCGTCACTGCGATACTAGACATGGGTAGTTCGCGAACGATTGAAGGAAATGAACTACTTCATTTCGCAAAATAAACTTATCATTCATTCAGTATCATTAAAAATGTGTCTCTACTTCATTTAGTTCAGCCTTTCTTTTCGCTCCACCACTCACTAGCACATGCTCGTCATTCGTTCGTGTCACTTCGGCGCCGGCCGGTCGGCTTCGGCTGGAGTTGGCCGGCCGACGTGTAGGCGCGGCGCAGCGGGGCGTTTTTGCCTAGGCCTACACGACACACGTGCACGAAAGGTCAAATAATATCATGCAACAGTGTAGTTAGTCTAAACATACTAATATGAGCTTTCTGTTTATACCAATAAAGTTTAATTTAGCGTACAAAAATGTACGTCGAAGGATCGGCAATATCGACAACTCTCTTTATGTAGCATTGCTATTGCAATCAAAACTGAGCTTTTTGCGGTGGAGATAAAGTGTAATAATTTAGAATTTGAATTCCTTACTCGCATAGTTCACAAGTTGAGTTCGACTTGAGGTTGAGGACAAACGGAAACGGAATGCACTAATAGTCTAATACTGCACTTGTTGACTTGTGCGGTGCGTTACGTTTATTGTAGGTAGCTATAGCTAAAATTGTGTTATCGTATTTATCCTCTATCAGTTTTAAAAATATAATGATTAATTGAACTAAAAGTGACAATATAGATAGAAAGGAAAGTACTGTGTGGTGGAACTATTTAACGGAAAAAGGACCCAAAAAGACGAATTCGTACTCTCACTGTTCTAGTAGCTATATTTTTGTGTTAACGTATAAATTACATATCTACTTAAGTGAAGTGCATCATTCGTCGTAAATCACTCATCAATCACACTTGCGAGCTCGATATCCTAGGTTTACGGACTCGTTTTGGTTTGCTGAACTAAATGAAGTACTGAACCAAATGAGTGGACTACTTCATAGAGCGAAAAGATATACTTCATTCATTTATTTTCACTGACACATTTTGCGCATGTCTTTGCGATTAAGGTTAATGTAATATGGAACAAGAATAAATCGGAACGTGTCCGCCCGCGCCCCGCCTGCGCCGTTCGGAATACTTCGGAGATAGTCGTATATTTTCGTGAAATGTTGAATTATCAATTCTAGCGTATTTGACAGTCGACTCAGTTTACTCATTGTAATTTGTCAAGTTTGTGCACTTATAAATTTGGCGCCATTTTTTTTCTTACCTTTTCTTTGCGTGTTGATGCAAATTACGACGTGCAAAGTGTTAGAAATCAGTTTATTCGTTGTGTAAATAACAATAATAGTGAATAGTTCAGTGTATTTAGTGTAGGTATATAAAAACTGATCTCGGCCATTATGGCAATATACGACAATATAAGTAATAATAAGCGACTAAATATCAAATCGTGTATAATCACATTACAAAACGTTCCAAATAGTGGGACAAAGTCACAGTGATTTTTCACCGTGAAATTTTTATAACTGGAACAACAGTCACGGTGATTGACTTATAACGACTTAGCCCATAGCCGTGTAGTGGCGGTTGAGAATATCCACTACCCCATATCTTCCCGTGGGTGCCATAAGAGGCGACAGAGGGACACAAAAAGGAGATGATAACAAAAAATTACACCGTTAATTTATAGAAACGGTAAAAAGTTGGACATGTTTCATCGCAATGTAATGTTGCATTTACCCTCTTCACTTATCGCTAACTACACTTAGGCTACCCGACAAAAGGTAGTTGCTGATTCTAACGTCAAAAGTATTGTTGACGTTATTGTAAAAAATCGTAGCTATTTAGATATTATTTTCAAACATGATGGTGTTTACAACTTAAAAACAAACCAACCTAACTATAGTTTGTTTTGGGACATAAAAAAAGTCAAATCCTGCTCCTATATAAATTTGGCCAACGTCCTATGGCCGGTTATTGCAAAATAGCCCTGTATATTATACTTATCAATTGCTATCGGTTAGTCTCGCTAAAACTTAAAAAAGACTAGACCAATTTTAATGAAATTTTTGTGTGTTTAAATGGGTCCCTAGATGGTTTAGATTAACTTTTTTTGACGATATCCAGAAATCACCCGTGCGAAGCCGGCGCGGATCACTAGTACTTGATTGTTACGAATTAACTTATAACTAGGAGTGGTTACAAAACGTAACTAGTTACTGAAACTATCTATTCACACAATAGCGGGTAGCGGGTTATTGCAGTGCAACGAAACTATTACAGTAGACGTTTTAAGCTGAGAACAAATTATCGGACGCGTCCGTCAGCCGCGGCTGACAGACGCGGCTTAGCGGTGTGCACGATAGTTTAGACGGCGTCCTCGGACGCCTCGCTTCGGTCATACTATATCTATAAAGGTTTGTCAATCGAGAAACATGACAAACAGTGACAGCGAGGACGAATTTATAAAGTTAGCGGCAGCTGCTTTATGTCGTCCTCCAAAAAAAAGGGGACCCAAACACTCCTTGTCCATGATATTAATGTAAAACGACTCGAGTATGGTGAATTTCATACATTGTATTTCTACTCAGACTTTACAAAAAGATGATAAACGTTACAAAATGTACTTAAGAATAAATACATTTATGGTGCTGCAGTTTGTGGTTATATAGCCATTCGTGGCCACGAACACATTCAATTAATTTTTCTTCATCACACATCATGTCGCGAGCGCAGTTGGTTCGCTTGTGATACTCGAAACGTCCGCGGACGCGTCCCGTGTCCCGTTCACACTGTCCGCGGTCGCACAAACATCCAGCCGGCTAGTTCTGTTCGGACGTCCGAACGCTCAAGAGCAACGCAAGGTCATGTCCGCGTCTTAAGACCGATAGTTTGCACAGTGTTGTATTAAATGTACTGGCTAGATTTCAATGAGCCGCGTCCGATAATTTGTTCTCAGCTTTACTCAGTAACACGATTCACGTTTCACGAATCACGAACGAGCGATCAGTAACAAAACGTTTATTCGGATATTTTCGCGATGCATCGGCGACGGCTTCGGCTGTTGAATTAGAAGCACATGAGTAGACTTTAATACCTGTAGAATGGAGTAGATGGCGGCGGAAAATATTCTATAAAAACATCAATACATGTATTCATTTGATTTATTACATAAAATGTAGGCTTGAGATGGCTAAAAATAAGCATTGTATTGTAATAATTATTTGCTATAAAATGAAACTTACATATATTCAATATTTTATGCTGAACTTGTGGGTGAATTTATCATAATCATAATTATTAAATAAATCGTTTGCCGTTAAATCTTTTCAAGTGATATTTTTATCAAACCGTGCGAAATGATTTAACAAATAAATAAATTTAACCATTAACACCATGTCTAATTCTATACGAAACGGTAACAAACAAGTTTTCTCGTGAAACGGACATCGTTTCATTCGCAACGTTTTTCGATTAAACACGTCGTGAAACACTCTATTGAAGCCGCTATTAAAATAGAGTTTCAATAGTTTCTTTTAGAGTTTCAATATCCTCTATTAAAATAGAGTGTTTCAAAACCCTCTATTAAAATAGAGTGTTTCAAAAGCCGCTATTGATATTCGATAGAAAGTTTCGTTTCGTTACTCAAAAAAGCCGCTACTACCCACCGCTAGTTATAACTGAATATTTAAAAAATACACCCCTAGAGTATAGGCGAGGAGGGTGATTGCTGCCCTTTGCGCTATTCTTGAGAACTGTGAACAGGTACTGTTTGTGGAGGCTAGTGTGCTCGAGTTCGTTATACACTGATAAGCTTCAAATTTTAAATGTCCTTTTTTTGAGTACATCACAGGAGATATTTCAGTTATAGATGGGCCCGCTATCATTTAACTTAAAAAAAAACAAAAACGAAATAGAAGATACCTGCGAAGTTTCTTTCGCCATTTCTTCTTCGTTTAGAGAAACCTCATTTCGTAACGGTAGTCGACTTAAAAAAATTACATTTAAAAAACGAAATTTGATTTTCTTACGTCGAAAAAATAAATATATATTTCATTTCCTGTCGGGATACCTACACTCCACGCTAATAATATTCAATTTCGTGGATGGAACGGGCGTGCCATGCACCCTTTTACTCGGACGGCGGTTAGATAAATCAACTGCACACTGATTCTCGTATATATTAAAATGAACTGTACTTTTAAGAATAACTATATTTGAATATATTTGAATATATAAGACCAAAATCGTAAAGAAACCTATTATATATCTTGATGAAATTTAATCAAAGACATTTAAATATATATATAAATCTCTGCGAACGTAATATACGTTTCAAACTCTGTGAAAAAATTTTGGCATACGGAAAATGAAGAAGGATTTTTTAAAAGTGATTCTGTTGATTCACGCTGGGTTATTGTTGGTGATGAAATGGGCTTTATACCTACTAAAGGCGCAATTGATATTTAAATCTCAGTCAGTCAGGTGATTACTATGATGACATGAACAAATTTTATTAAATGACTACAAGATAAACTTATATCTAATTTATTGTCAAAAAGTTTAATAGTGACGGATAATACGCCTTATCATTCGGTAAAGGTGAATATTAAATATACACAGTCGGGTCATAAGTATTGTCACACAGTAAAAACTTTTCTTTTAGAATGCTGGCCACAAAAAAGTTTATTGAATTCGAATTTCGAATTTTTCATGAAAATAAAACTGTATATTTTTTAGAATTTTACTCATTTTTAAATATGGAGTGGACGCTTAAAGAAGACTGTGTTACAGTTATTGCGTTGCATCGTTGCGGTTACGCGCCAATTCAAATTTTTGACATACTGAAAAATTTGAATATAACCAAAAGATTCGTTTATCGTACCATCAAACGATACAATGAAGACTCTAGTGTAGATGACAGGTCAAGAAGTGGTCGTCCTCGGTCTGTTAGGACTCCAGCAGTGATAAAAGCTGTGAAGGCGCGAATTCAAAGAAATCCCAAACGTAGGCAGAAACTATTGGCCCTTCAGATGGGGTTAAGCAGAACCACGGTGAAAAGGGTGTTAAATGAAGACTTAGGGCTTCGGGCATATCGAAGAAAAACAGGACATCGTTTGAATGCTCGTCTAATAGACCTGAGACTGAAGAGATGCCGCGCTTTGTTGAAGCGGTACGCGGGAAAAAAATGTCTTGAAATTCTTTTTTCGAATGAAAAAATTTTTACCGTAGAAGAGGACTACAACAAACAAAATGATAAGTTGTACGCACACAGTAGTGAAGAAGCGAGCAACCGTATTCCGCGTGTCCAATGAGGTCATTTTCCATCCTCGCTCATGGTATGGTTGGGAGTTACTTATTGGGGCTTAACAGAGGTACATTTTTGTGAGAAAGGTGTAAAAACTAATGCAGTTGTGTATCAAAATACAGTCCTGACTAACCTTGTGGAACATGTTTCTCATACCATGTTCAATAACAGGCACTGGGTATTCCAACAAGATTCGGCGCCAGCTCATAGAGCGAAAAGCACACAAGACTGGCTGGCGGCGCGTGAAATCGACTTCATCCGGCACGAAGACTGGCCCTCCTCCAGTCCAGATTTGAATCCGTTAGATTACAAGATATGGCAACACTTGGAGGAAAAGGCGTGCTCAAAGCCTCATCCCAATTTGGAGTCACTCAAGACATCCTTGATTAAGGCAGCCGCCGATATTGACATGGACCTCGTTTGTGCTACGATAGACGACTGGCCGCGCAGATTGAAGACCTGTATTCAAAATCACGGAGGTCATTTTGAATAAACTATAGTGTCATAAGAATCTATGTTTTGTTAAGTCCATTTTGGTATATAAATGGTTACATAATGAATAAACTTGTTTCAATTATTTTGTATTAAACATGTGACAGAATTTATGACCTGACTAGGTATGTACCAACATTGTATTCTACCAAAGCTGATATGCAAAATTGGATCACAAGTATGGGTTATCTTCTGTACCTACTCTGATGAAATCTCAAGTATACGAAATTATAAAAGAGCACAAAGAAGCTCCAAAATATTAAACTGATCAATTGCTTGAGGTGCATGGACACAGAGTGGATGGACTTCTACCGTACCTCTGCGGGTTAAATGCCATAGACTTTATGTGGAGTCTTTTAAAGACGCGTGTAGTAAGAATCTAGGATAGGAAAAAGATAATACAGCACAATTAGGTCGTCCGAAATCGCTAAGCTTCTTAGGTGACGTCCTGAACAATCTTAGATGTCGGTCGAATTCTCGTAGTCGCTTCCCGGGGTAGAGTTCACTTTTTTGTTCCCGAAATAATTAATTTTCCGATCGCAGGCACACGCTTTTATAGTCGATAAAAGAAATATTGAACTTTCTACGCCAATCTGGGTCATTCCACTCTTTTAACCGGAAAGTACTAGAACACTCGAAATAACATACAATATCCAAAGGAGAAAAGGCTTTAACGTCGTAGACATAATGTCGCTTCTTGCTTGCATTAATAGTTCGGACGTTATCTATTTATACGTGCATTTCATTACTTATTGTAGGGAACATACTCGTGCAATGTGATGTACCTAATACGCAACTGGTTCCTCTAAAATTATTTAAATAAATAAATATTTCGTAGTAACGACTTTACCTTATGAAACATTTATGGAACACAATAAGCAATTAGAAGTTAATACAAAATAATACCAAAACAAATAAAGTATACAAACCATCAGCACACTGCTTATATCAATGTAATACAGAGAAGACTTTCTGCAACACAAACCTTTGCTTGTTGAATTATCACAAAGGTCACAATCTAACTACTGTTTTTTTAAAGAAGTAAAATCACACGAGCACACAGCCCACCTGATCATAAGTGGATGTTGTAGCCCATGGACATATACATCTAGCCTTGATTGGGAATCAAAATCTAGATGCATTGTTACCCCTTAGGACTAAGATAAAATGCTGGTATCCAGTAAAAAGGGTCTCCGGTTTTCTACACTCACTATACGAAACACAGCAGAATTGAGCTGCAATTTTCCACTGGTATTCTGTGAGAGCGTGGTCCTTCCCTGGGCGAACCGACTAATTCGAGCTACAACTATAAGATTGCTGAAACATGGCTTAACTACGTAAAAAGAATATGACGCGAAGAATGACTGTTTCCAGCTAATTACCTTTGCCAACCTACGTCGTAATTTATACTGATCGTACAAGTGGGAGTTTCGATTTTTACCCTGACTTTGCTGCAGTTTCTTTTATTTTATTGTCTGTTTGTATAATTATTTTCTACTTTCATTTAATACAATAAATAAACATGTTTCGTGCAAATATGTATTATAATAAAACTGTAAAACTATATATAATCTTGTTTTATATAATGTTAACGTGTTAAACAAAGCAAAAAAGCTTATAAATGTCAAACACATGGCTTTATTTTTTTTATTAAAATTATTTAAGTTTCGCAATTCCTGTTTTTACTATATTTTTCTTGATAGTTTAATGCATAAGCTGATGAAGTTAAACAATTAATATAATGTATTGCAAATAAAAAAATATCAACACAAAAGTCTCCGTAATATAACGGAATAGAAAAAAAAACACCAGCAAAAAAGTGGGCACCAAATACATGCTGCAAGTAAAAAGAATAAAACATGAATCATATTATTATAGATTTTGTATATAACTAAGAATGCGGGATAAACAGACGGAAAAAATTTATATAGGCAGTAACAAGGTTGTCCTTTCATGGACTGTTGAACTATCTCTTGGCAATTTATCTCTTGAAAACCTCCTAACTGAATGAAATTTGAAAAGAATTTCCTCAGTTTTCCGAAGCGTAGTTTTGGTAGTGGTTTTTTTCTCTTGAAATATGTTGGCAATATATTTTCTAAGCTGTCGCTCAGTCGATAAATTTTTGATTTGGAAAATCTTTTTTTATCTACTCGCCGCGGTTGGAGGCTAGATGGAAAGGTAGACTGAGTAGGTCTACTTATAATTTTGGGTTTCGGTAATGGTAGTGTATTAACAGCATATGTACGTTTACCCATATGAGGGGGCGGTAGTGAAATATATTTTACAACTGGTTGAGTTTTGGGTAGTTTTTTTGTAGAAATCATTTTTCGCTTCATCTTACGATGCCGTGGTGTATAAACTTTAATGATTGGAGTAGGTCTTTTTAACATAACTTTTTTGGAGTGTCTTTTGATAGGTTTCGGGCCAATTGCGGTATCACGAGTACGAGAACGAGCCGGTAAATAAAACTTATGCACTGTTACAACCTTCTTTTGCCCATCAGGGAGTTGTTTATCTTTAATTTTCGAAGTTTCTTGAAATTGTTCTACTTGATGACGTTTATTCAATTTAGCAGGATGTGGAAAAAATTTTATAATTTTTATTGCTCTACGAATTGATGTTTTCTTTGTTCTTTGGAAACGGCGGGTACTGGTACCCAAACTGTGGGTCTCATGTACAGGCTGGGGAAAAAATTTAATAATAGAAGTAGGTTTTTTTGTAACTTCTTTTGACGTGGAAATAGATTCACCTGATTTTAGAGGAATTCTTTCTTTTGTCCTGAATCTTTCCATAGATCGAACATTTACTGCGGTTGTCCGAGTTTTATGTCGTGGTTGTGGAAAAAATTTAATTATCTTTGTTGATGATTTTGTTCCAACTTTCGCTTCTTCTTTTTTAATACTGCGAGTGCCACTAGCAAAGGTACGTAAACGATGTCGCGGTGATGGAAAAAATTTCAAAACTGATGTATTTTTGACTAAACGTGCAGTACCTCCCCTTGTTCGTCGGTGAGGATGTGGCGGAGGGAAAAATTTCATTACAGATGTTTTCTTTATAGCAGCGGTATTACTGGATGTTGTTCGTGATTGACGTCGTTTAAATGAAGGAAGGAAAGGTTTGGGAAGCCTAGTATTAATCGCAGCAGTACGTCTGGAATGTCGAGGGGCAGGAAAAAATTTCATTACCGAAGTAGGTTTCAATAAGCTAGCACTACTTGCACTATCTTTCTTCTGACGACGTGATAGAAACTTGGTAAATGATGAAGGCCTTGGTATTTTAGTATTGACAGATGAAGTACGTTTTTCATGTTGCGGTGCAGGAAAGAATTTCATCACTGAAGTAGTTTTGAAAGGATCAGTCGTACTTGCCGTAGTACGGGTTTTGCGTTGTATCAGGGAAACAGTTTTAGGAAGTCTAGTATTGCTAGATGAAGTATGTTTTTCATGATGTGGTGCAGGAAAAAACTTCATTACACTAGTTAGTTTGAATGGATCAGTATTAATTGATGTAGTATGAGTACGACGACGTTTTGAAGAAGTAGGTACGGTGCGTTTTTCACGATGTGGCGAAGGGAAAAATTTTATCACTGATGTTGTTTTTTTCGTATCATCTTTTTTTTCTGGTTCTACTACTATCTTTTTATCTTTCTTAACTCGAGGAGTATTGCTAGCAGAGGTACGGGAACGGTGACGTGGCGCTGGGAAGAATTTAATTACTGAAGAAGCTTTAGTCACTGTGCGTTCTGGTGGATTACATTTAGTAACGGTTACAACATCGCCCATATGAGAGGGTGGAGGAAAAAATTTGATGACAGATGTAGATTTGCGAACTGTCTCTTCAGGTCTTTTTAGAGTTTCTGAAGTACAAGTTGTAGATGATCTGCTACTTAAAGGAAGCTTCTGGCAAGGGCTTGGCTGTCCAACGCAAATTGGCTTGCATAAACTGGGATGATCGTTAATTTTTCTGTCGGGGTGGTGATGTTTCATAGATTTACGTGAAATACGTTTACGTGTAGTTACTGTAACATTAATTTTATTATTTTTTGAATGTTTTGGACAATGCGTATAATTATTAGTTTTTGAGCTGGTTGAGTGGAGAGTTCTTTTAAGACGTTTTGGTGCTGATTTTGGTACACAAACCCTAACCTTTTTACTTTTTCTCAAAGGACATTGTTTATTAAACATTTCGGAGCATTCATCTGGAAAATTTTGTATCAAATAACGACAATTTTGTCTTCTTTTTGATACTTTTCCCGAACATGAGTTTTTTTTTAAATGTCGTTTCTTTTGACTTACTTCTGCTATTGTACCAGATGGCTTTTGTACAGAATCTGTAACACTTAAACATTTGCTAAAATCTTTTTCACTAACTTTCTTCCGTATTTTTGGAACATCATCCAGAGCTTCCTCATAAGGCTGCTTGAAAGTAACACTTTTTTTTCTTTTTCTAGCCGGACATGGCTTCAATATTTGACTTGGATATGCTATAACAGTTCCAGCCCGGTCATGTATACTGAAATTACTTTCATTAAAAATACTTTTGTGATTTCTAAATGTTTTTACTGTCCATTTTTCTTTACTGCTTAAAATTTCTTTGTTTTTTGGTCTAGCAAGTATTTCAAAAGAAGTTTGTGGCAAATCACTTTTTTGTTTATGTGATTGTTTTTGATCACCATTTGAAAGTTTTCTTTTGCTATTTGAATTTTTATAATTTTTATTGTTATCACGCTCCTGTTGAGGTCGTAGAGGATACGAAATTAACCAACCAATACCTATTATTAAAATGCAAGGGGACCATATAATTATAGCAATCACAGAAAGCACATATTTGATGATAACTTTTAAAAAAGTTAATGGGTCAAAAGACAGCTTAATTCTCTTTTTGGGTCTTTTAAGAACATTGGGCTTTACAGTGAGGTCATGTTTGGAAGAATTAGCAATTCTCCGAGAAGGTTGACAGACGTTAACAGCTGTTGTTTGCCATGTAAAAGGTTTTGAAGTTGGAAATACAGAAGTGGCAACTTTCTTTTCCTTGCATTTTACTTTTGATAGATCTCCATGAATTTTTTTTATACTCTCCGATTTTTTAAAAAAAGATTTACATATATTTAAATCTGAACACGAACAAGCAGCGTTTTCTTTCTTCGAAGATTCTATGTTATTTAAGGATTTAGGTTTTAACATATAAATATTTGAACTACCGCAGCATTGTGAGAAATTTACTAAATTATAGTGCGATGAAAATCCATTTTCACACTTGACGAACGAAGACTTTTTCTTAGATTTATCTTGAGAAACATTTTCAAAAGAGTAATGCTTACAGCACAATATTTCATGGGATTTCAAATTCTTATCCGGTGTATCCCCTCGCAAAAATTTGTAAATCACATTCATGTTATAGTTTAAGTTACGTTTTCGCCGGTTACAACGTTGAAAGCCAAAGATATCTGATGATTGTCTTTTATTGGACTCTACTTTTCCTATGTCAAAGCGCTTTAAATTTCTATTACTTTGAGAAATTTCAGTTGCGTATAACACCTTAACTTCATCGTTGATTTTGTAATCTAAATCTGATTTGGATGCTGCATAATCATTTATAATATTTTCTTTATAAATCTTTGAAGATGTGTGTTTTAGTCTACCATTAATATTATTACTATTTGATGAAAATGTGCGTTTGAGAACTTGAAAATCAATTGAATTTTTGCGGACACGTTTCTTACTTAGCACTTGATCTGCAAAAAAACTTTAATTCTAGAATGATTAAATGTTAGTTGTATCACTTTATAATTGTGACTTGTACTTACTTGTTTCTTTCTTTGACTTGGAATAATTTTTTGTAGTAATATTAGTTTTTGCTGCGAAAGATGTCTCCTCCTTATTTGCGCCATTTCTTACTTTGCCTTTGCTCTTTGCTATGTCTTTGTGTGTATTCCCAATTAAAGGGTAATCAAAAAGTTTAACTTTTTTTTCTGAAACCTTGTTAATATTTGCAATATCCTTGCTATATAATTTCCCAGTATCGCCGTCCATTATTATAAGAAATTAAATATAATATAAATTTTTGGCATTTTTAAAACCGTTATTTTCTGTATATGAATGATACATAGAATACAAGAAATGAAAAAGTTATATCAGAAAAATACAACATATCATAATTAAATTAAATAAACATAGACTGACAATCACAGAACACTATTACTCACTAGTGAGAGCTGACAATGTTCAATACAGATATAAAATAAATTAGAAAAGTGTTATAGCAAAACCATAGGTCAAACATGTAATTATATTCTCAGAACACATAATACTCTCTAACGAGATTTTATAACCTACTTCAGATGCATTATATGGACATATGGACCTCGGTATAAGTTAAATATCTTTATATACCTATATATAATTCTTCTCTCCTTGTGTATGTGACTAAACTCCTCCTAATCGGCTGGACCAATTTTGATGAAATTTTGTCTGTGATTAAGTTGATTCGAGAATGTTTTTTTATTCAAATTCTATCATTCAATAAAATTGGATCCGGAAAGTTGCACTGTTGTCGAGATCGAGGCATCACCGAGGATCGATAGTCTCCATATAGAGCATAAAAAAGGTATTATATCATGCTCTTTGGTATGGACAAAAAGGTAATATTAACGTCATTAAAAATTTAGGGTAGGGTAATTTAGTGTAAAATGGCAGAACATTACTTACTAAAGTGAAATCCATAGTTACTCTTGACCTTTCATTATAAATCCTTACCATATATACCCCATTTATTTACAAACATTAAAGTAAACATAGTTAATAATTATTATATAAATTATTTATTTTTCTATACTGTTACAATTATATCAACTTACCTTACATTACTTACTGATACATTTTCAGTTCGCTTCAACTTTTTAAAAAATAAACATTTTGAACCAAAATCAATAACAAATATCACTCTTTCCTTAATTTTTTTTAGAATTGCATAAATATAATAAGTCTAGCAAACACCATCAATTATTTTTTTATATATAAGGCATGGTAAATTCAGAATTGCATTTTACCGTTTAAAGTTTAAAATTTTAAATCTATTTATAATTAATGTTAGTATAGTTTTCGACTGTACTGGACGCTGAAAGAAGCCATGTCTAAAAAACTGGAAGCGTTCGAGATGTGGGTGTACAGACGTATGCTAAGAATTTCTTGGAGAGACCGCGTACGAAAGACCACCGTGCTACAAAGAATGGGGATGGTCACAGAGATACTTACAACCATAAAGAGGAGGAAATTGGAATATTTTGGGCACGTGATGCGTAACACCAAAAAATATGAATTCCTTCAACTTATCGTTCAGGGGAAGGTGGCAGACAGAAGAAGGCCTCGCCGCAGAAGGATATCGTGGCTGAAGAACTTGCTCCAGTGGTTCGGGAAGAGCACAAGATCACTGTTTAGAGCAGCGGTCTCAAAAGTTGGAATCGCCCTAATGATTACCAACCTTCGCAAGGAGACGGCACCTTAAGAAGAATAGTTTCCGACCGAGTGCTTTCCGATCAGCTCGATTCACTGGCGCTGCGAAGAGATGTTGCATCTCTTTTCGTATTTTATCGCATCTATCACGGGGAGTGCTCTGAGGAATTGTTCGGATTAATCCCAGCCGCCAAATTTCATGAACGCACTTCGCGGCAAACCTCCCGATACCATCAACACTATCTGGAAGCTTGGCGGTCCAACACTGTACGTTTCACTAGCAGTTTTCTTCCGCATACGACCTCTCTGTGGAATAGTTTACCACCGGCGATTTTTCCGGACCGATACGACCTGGGGACCTTCAAGAAAAGAGCTTACTCTTTTCTAAAAGGCCGGCAACGCACCTGCAATTCCTCTGGTGTTGCGAATGTTCATGGGCGGCGGTAGTCACTTAACATCAGGTGAACCGTATACTCGTTTGCCCCCTCTTCTATAAAAAAAATGTCATTTTGCGAGAATCCGTATCGTCCCGTGGGTGTCGTCAGAAGCGACAGACTGAAACAGGAGATGGACAATAGGAGGGTGGTAGGTATTTTACTGAAGACAGCACATACACTTTAGCAAATATGCAGCGTATTAGGCAATCTAATCCCTATGTACAGCAGCAAACCTTTAATAAGCTGTAATGATGATCACGAGTTCTACTCATTTTCGCTGTCCTTAATATTTACGTTAGATTGGAAACAAAGAGGTAACATCTCCGGAAATATTAATGAAAAGGCTGCTGTTATATTAGTAGTATAGTTAACACGAATGGGTCGGCTCGACCGGGGAAGGACCACGCTCTCACAGAATACCCGCGTAAAATAGTAGCTTAATGCTGCTGTGTTTCGTATGGTGACTGTAGAGAACCTGTGACTCTTTTTACTGGAAACGAGGCAAGAAAGATGGAAATCTTAGTTCTCAGGCGTGTCAACGCATCTGAATTTTTTATCGTAATCGAGGATAGATGTACATAGATGTCTATGGGCCACAGCCACCACTTACCATCAGGTGGACTGTATGCTCGTTTGTCACCCTATCCTATAAAAAACACTGTTTCAAACTAAAAAAAAGATATAGCTTAGTTGCATCCCACTAATAAGCACAGGCCGCATTGGGCTTTGGGACAAAAAAGAGTTCGCCACCGTCGCTACGCGGGATGACTCACGTAAAAATATTTTCTGACAGGTGTGCAAGATTTCTCGCGATGTTTTCTTTCACCGCCGAAAACGTAAATTGACACTTCAAATTGCAATTAAAATATGAATGGTGTCGGCATGGATCGGATTCTAGCCCTCAAGGAATGCCACGAAGCGCGGCCCTGAGCCATCTGCCTCCATCGACTTCCTGCATGTCTTACCAGGTCATCCCTTCATCTAGTGGGACATGAATAGAATAAAGGTCAAGTGTAACGTCCATGTCACACCTATGCCAATAGTTGTTAGGAGCACTACGCTCGAAGTTGTTGACCAGGGATAAATAGTCGGACTAGTAGCTCTTGGGAGATTACGACACATGTTCAAAAACTTCTAAACAAGATTTTTACAACCAGTGCGTGTTGCCAGTGATGACTATTCTGAGACTTGGTCTTTCACTGCTGGCCGTTTGAGGAAGCTTAAGCTCGCTGAGATATAGAAGGTTATAAATGTATATATGGAGGGATTTGAAAATGAGCTTATCCGCAGTAGAACCAGCGTAACCAACAAAGCCTCGACCTCGTACAACCTACTGTTAGTCGAAGTGCAGGTCGTTCCCCCACTAGATCCGTTTTCATGCGGCTGCAAAAAATCTGATTATTCTGGCGCACCGAAATATGTAAAACAGAATTATAAAATTCCATTACATTCACACAGCTAATATAAAAGCGTGTTATTAAACAAAGAAAATATTTTTGAATCGTATTAATCATCAATGAAATAAAAGAAGTAATTATAATTCCACGAAGATAGAGTTAAAACATTAAGAGAGAAATTTAACTGGACCTTAACGCCGGGGGGTATTGAGGAAGTCACCTATGCAGAGTGCTGGTCGTGCAAATGAAGTCGCTGCGCAGGGGGGCGTAGTTCAACTCCTGAGAGAGGCCACAACATGAAGTTACGAAATTATATTTATTAACTTTATTTATTTATCTTTTCAGTGCCAAAATTATATCGAACAAGATAAATTTGAATCATTTTTAAACGACTATAACAATTATTTGAATGAAAGATGTCTTCTCTTTACTTTTTGCAATATTATTTATCTTTTATTAACTTTTATGTTGACTTCATTCGTGTAGATCTTAAAAAATAAAACTCAGCCTACAGATCTATTACAGTTGTTTCTGGGCAAGTTTTTCCAACCATCGAAATCTTGAAAACTGCGTTATGGCAAAATGTTAATAATAAAATTGAAGATAGATCTAGTAGTGATCTTACGGTTTTTGATATTTTATAAATGTCCAAAATTAACTGCGATATTCTAAATTGATTCGCTCATTGGTCCAGCCGCCGTTCTGCTGACTATGTGGTCTTCAGTCCCTCATCTCGGGTCGTGCCGAAATCAGTTAGATGGGTTTTACAAGAAATTTTCAGTAGCAACTGAGAGGGAGGAAGTTGGCAGTATTTCACGCCATGCCTCAGAAAACACGTAAAGCCGTTGGTAATCTCTCTCTGGTCGTGTCGGATTGCCATTCCTCGGACTGTGACAGGGAAGTGAAGGAATAGAGAGGGGTGTATGCGCATGCACTATTTTCCAGTAAGACTAGCCGTCATCTAAATTCAGTCTGGAGGACGTTATTTACGATTTAGATCGATACATCGTTCGATTATTCATACCAAATTGCCACTGTAAAAGAAAAATCTAAGGGACAATCGATTAAAGAAGGGAATCGTAACATTTGTTTTAACTTTATTGTAATCATTGGAGCCGTTAAATTTTAACGATTATTATACATAATATAGGTAGGTATAGCAATAAATTACAAGAAAGGCGAAACAATTTGTCATCTTGAGAAATATTATACGATACTTATACCTACATAAAATTAAATCAATTCTTAACATGCTGACCCGAGCAGACCTGTAACTAGTTACGTATATTTACAAAGCATCGAGATAATAATGACGACCTCGATGACTCATGGTCTTAAGTGGTGGTGACGGTAATCCACCAGAAAATACCATTAACTGTATTCGATACCGCATCCAATGCGGTAATCAGCTGAACTTCCCGCATCACTGAGGTCAGCGGCATTCACTGCTCCCCTGCTACCGCATTAAGCCGATAACCGACGAATGCGTGATCGCGTCGCGGACGAAGTCGGAGCGGGAGCGCAGAATATCGCATGGAACCGGCGGACGCGCACGCAACACGTCGCTGCCATCAGTTGCATTATACGAAAAAAAGAAGTGTCGAAACCGAGTGGCTAGTGTATTCAGTTGAACGTGTCGAAGTCCAGTCTCGTCGTGGATAACATCCGAAACACGTCCAGGTACCTATTTTTAGATATATCTTTGTCTCGGTTCAGAACTGGTTTTCTATAGTTTTCCATCGCGAAAGTTCAGGTCCTAAACCTTATATTTATTTATAAACAAAAACATTAAAAATATGCACTAATTAAAAATAAACCTTGTAAAATAAAACCTAATGTTTGTTTTTATATTATAAAACTTATTGTTAAAAATTATAATAAAAAATAAACATTATGGCTATGTAGAGCAAAAGAGGATTATTTTATATTTACGCTAGAGTAGATAGAATATTATTTTTTATTAGTGTTTTCGATATATAAATATATATAATTCGTTCAAGTATATTTTTGCTTTCTTTACATTTTTGATGATGAGATCATGAACCCATAATCAGGACATGCAGATATTGCTTGGAAATATTAAATTTGCAAGAACATATATATCTAAATAAACAAATAGAAAATAAATCTAAATTAATGAACACGTTTTTTAAATTACTAATAAATGTAATAAATTTTAAAAATCCGAATGTTTAAGACTAATGATTTATTTGTTATAATAACAAAGATATAATAAGAACTTTTTATTACTTTCCTTTTAAATTTCATACAATTTTAAACAAATGCGAACACTACACATTAAATAAAACTATTTATACGGATTTTATTGCGTTTAATTAAATTATTTTTACTTCCCGATGTTTCGGGTGATTTACAGCACCAATGGTAATGGGAGGAGAGGGGGTGGGGGATACATAAAATCCGTATAAATAGTTTTATTCAAAATTTACAATCTGTTATCATCAGGTTAAGGATGTAATATTTTCTTTTTACAGTGTATCTGTTGTGAAATTCCTGTGGCTCTGAGGAAATGGCACAATATCAGTTTCTCTGTCTGCTGGCTGTCGCTATTTTGGGTAAGTAACAAGAAACTTTGACTGTGAACATCCATCCATCCATCCATTACATTCTATAAAAGTCATCTGCTGAAAATAGGACTATGGATATTCGAAAATATTTGAGTCATTATTCATTACTTTGAGTTACCTCATTTAACACTTAGGATAATATTACCTATATTATCCTAAGTTTGTTATTATCATGACTACAAAGAAATGGAGTAAGTAATCTTGGAGCTGACAATTTTAGTAGCAATTATTACTTTGTCTACGTTCAGATCTTGACAAATGAGTTGTCCACTGGCTGTGGCCGAAATTTATTAATATTGGTCTGTATTAGACTTGCAACGAATATTCGGCTATTACTCGGTATTCGGCTTATTCGGCTAGGGTGTTATTGTAGGCAGATTAATGGTAAAATGAAAATATTTACTAATTTTATAATGAATTTGTTTTAATCATTAAAGTAGTCATAGGTGCTTAATCAAGTTCCATGTTATAAAAATTAAAAAAAGAACTATCAGATAAATGTCTATGCACTCGAACTATCGTAATTAAAGCGGTAGAGCAATCCTGCAGCTTTATTGTAGTTGCAACACGAATGGGTCGGCTGGACCGGGGTAGGACCACGCTCTCACAGAATACCAGCGTAAAATAGCAGCTTAATGGTGCTGTGTTTCGTATGGTGAGTGTAGAGAACCGGAGACCCTCTTTTGCATCTGCATTTTGATTCTTAATTGAAGATGAATGTAGATGTCTATGGGCCACAGCATTCACTTACTACCATCAGATGGACTGTGTGCTCGTTTGTCACCCTTAGACTATAAAAAAAGATAATGGTGCAGTAAGACTAATTTTTCTTCATTTTACTTTCGGTTGTAGTAGTAACAATCGCAGCTTCTGAGAATATAAGCTCTGAAGAATAACCACTACTTCCTTTCCGGCCGAATAGAACTTATAGGTACCTAACATTCGCCTATTCGGCCAGGTAGTCCGCAGAATATTCGGTATTCGGCGTGTGGCCGAATATACTATTCGTGTCAAGTCTAGTCAATATTAATTATTAATTTAAAATAAAATAAAAACTTTAAAATAATTCATATTGAACATTACTGAATGTAATCCTGTGCAGTGGCGGCGTAAGAAATAGATCTCGGCGGCGGTGATGTACTGCATCATCCTAATTTTTGAGTTCAAAAACAGTGTTCGCCACTCCGCCTATCAAACGTTGTAAATATGGCAAATATAATCTATGATGTAATCTGTGAGAGAGGCCTGCCTTTAGCAGTGCACTTTGATAGTCTTTTAAGAGAATAAGTGATTGCTGAACGTACTTGAACGTGTTGTACTGATCAGCATACCGATTGTGTAACGCTGATGGGAATTGTTTGCAGGTGGGAATCACTTCGCAACTGGTTCATGCTAATATGTTGTAAATAGTCTTTGGTTGTAACCTAAAATAATGTGTTTATTTAAAAAGACATCGACTAACAATCGATACTAACTCATTTACTTTTTACAATCTAGGTAGGTACTGAAAACAAATCACGCGAATAATCACAAAACGAATCCAGCAATTTTCAAAATTCACACAAGAGTTTTTTTTCTTTGGTAATGGCTCGTATTTGTTGTATTTTTGCCAGTGGCAAGTAATAAGAATCCTTTAAATTTAATTTGTTTTAAAATTTCTCCACAATATATTGATGCGTCACATTGCGAAGTTTTTGTGAGATTTTGACAATAATAGTATCTCAAGGCGCAAAACCACACACAATAACTTGTGTTTCACATCACGATCGAAGCACTTGTTGCACAGCGTTCCCACTAATTATTATTCACATGCTTTTACATTTAATACACAAAACCATTATTCAAATGTTAAACCAGAAGCAGCAATCTACCAGTTGCTAAGTTCCCGCCAAAATTCCCCCACCAGAGTTACACCATAGCAGTGATTTGATTGACACTGGTTAAATAAATCTTAAATTTCAATAAATAGGTCTGACAATGCAGTCAGAGATACGCGAACCAAATTTGTGTGCTTGCACAAATGTTGGCGCTGACTACGGCATTTAAACCCAAACTGGGAAACGTATTAGCCAGTCCACTAAGCCACGTTTGTCAAATATCACGATTGGGGATCTCCCAAATTAGTGAAAGCTTGTGCTCAGTAGTCAGTAGTTACTATTATTCAGGTATTGGGTGCGTTTGGCAGAAAAAAGCGCTAGCAAGCGCTTATAAGCGCTAAAATAGTTTTCCGCCAGGACACGATTACTACTTCAGTAGCGCTGACATAATCCGCCATTTTGCTTATTTAATTTGTTTGTTTTGAAGTAGAGTTTAAAAGTTGTTTTGTGCAATATTAGTTTTAAGTAATATAATGACATGAATAAACATATACATGTTATTAAAAATTCATGATTGGTAAGTTTTTAATATGAATACTTTACAAACATATATTTAAATTAGGTTAGGTTCCCCCGGTTAAAACTAACATCGTGTCCTAGAGGAAAATAGCTACTTACGATTTGACAGCGCTTACCGCTTACGATCGCCATTTTGCTTACAAGCGCTTGCTAGCGCTTTTTTCTGCCAAACGCACCCATTGATAGCATAAATTGTGAAAATATTTTTTTTTCACGTGGGGTCTTTTGTTATAGCATTGGGTGACAAACGAGCACACAGTCCACCTGATGGTAAGTGAATGCTGTGGACCATCGACATCTACATTTATCCTCAATTAAGAATCAAAATGCAAATGCGTTGTCACCTCCGAGAACTAAGATGGAATGCCTCGATTGCAGTAAAAATGGTCTCCGGTTCTCTATGCTCACCATACGAAACACAACTGCATTAAGCTGCTATGTTACGCTGATATTCTATGAGAGTGTGGTCCTGCCCCGGTCGAGCCGACCCATACGTGCTACAACTATAATATAGCTGTAGCGTGGCTCTACCACGTAAAAAGATTAAATTCTTCGATAAAAACGTGCAAATAAGGATTATATATTTGTAAATCTTAACCAATACTAGGCGGGTGTCGAACCGTCGAATCTACCCCACAGCACAGGATTGTCAATTGTACAAAAATTTATAATAAACAAAATATTGACTAATAAAAAATTGAAGAGAAATAAGGCAAAGATTTACAGCAGAGTTCAAGAATTAGTCACTCCGGGCTATCAAGTCAATCTAATTACAGTTTAATAACGTATTCTTATTCTGAGAACCGAGTAAATATTCAAACGCGTAGGTGTGATTCATAATCTGTGAAAAACGATTCCGCTTACGATTGAATGAGAAACCAGAATTGCTTAAAAAACTAATAGTATGTATCATTAAACAATAAATCACCTTAAATTAAGGCATGCGAAGCAATATCGCTTATCGATAAACTTTTAACTAAATATGAACTAACTATTAATAGAGTCGTAATTAATAATGAGCATAAATTGTATTATTCTGAGAATTGCAAAAATGTAACCTAAATAATAAATCTTTAATCGTCCTTTATTATAACAAGTGTTAAAATCCAAAATTTTGTACAACCGACTTCAATATAAATAAAATGAGAACATCATCCATGTGGTCGAAGTCAATTAAATACGCATTATTAAAGATAACTCAATCAAATTGATCAAATTTATATGAATCGTCAAAATCGGTTCACCTAAAAAAATTCTGAGGTAGGTACATAACAACACATAAAAAATATAATCGCATAAAGAACCTCCTCCTGTTTTGAAGTCGGTTGGAAAATACACAGAAACATTAGTTCATAGATACAAATGTATCTATCTTAATATATATATATATATATATATATATATATATATATATATATATATATATATATATATATATATGCACAAACTAATAAAAGTACTAACGTAATATATAAGTTACGTGTCCCGTTGTTTGTTCGCGATGGACTCCTAAACTACGTAACCGATTTTAATCAAATTTACACACCGTGTGCAGTTTGGTCCAACTTGAGAGATAGGACAGTTTTTTTTTGCCCATGAGTGACCCACAATTATTTTTGGCGAATTTAAAGATTTTTAATAGGACATGGCAAAGGATCGTCGAAAAGGGCGGAACAACGTCTGCCTGGCAAGTTAGTATATTATTATAAAGTATTTTATTATAAGGCCCTCCGAGTAAAGGAACAATTACAATGCGGAAGCGGTATTATTTGTGCAAACAACATGATACGATCATAATACATATTATGTGGCTAATCATGCACGTATTTTCAAAGAATATAGAAACACGGTGATTCATTACTTTGTACTCGAGGGGCCGTCAATGAGCGAGATTTAAATATTATTTACCTCAGCGTGACCTTTCTCGTTGAATGTAACGGAGATCATTTTACCTTTGAAAACGTTACAACACGTTTTATTCACTAGTAAGTAATATAATACTGACATTAACTAACTCATGACTAGCTTGTTCAGAAAGACAATCATCTTGGTGTGAAGCTAAACTAATAATTCATTTTATATCATACTATAATAGCTGATTGATACCCATCGCTTTGCTGGGTGTATGGTAATATTTTATTGCTGAACGTACATGTAAAATATCTATTTTTTTATGGGAATGTCTACTATGGTGTAGCGTAGGCGTAGTAAAGGATGAGGAATATAATAAACACTTGTATTGGAAATTATGAAAATAGGCAATCTGCACCCACACACTACACCTTTGCCCAGGGGTAGGGTAAAATATTAAGCTTAATATGAAAGTATATTACATTGTTTTATTAATTTTCAAATATATACAAAGAATGTAGAAGTGTTGTACCGAATTTATATTGAAGATTCCGAAAATGAGGGGAAAAGGAGGAACAGCTCTTGCGGCTCAAGATGACAGCAAGCCTTGTTACGCCACTGCTTGGAAGCAGTTGATTCTGGAACATTCGTAACACGGGGAAATTTGTCCTAATGTGTCACAGTGTCACTCACATCACATGTCTTTTAGAGCGTTTGACTGAAAAAGATAAAAGAGGTGTA